AGAAACAGAACATTCATCATAACCGTGGCAAGTGAGTTATTATTAAATAGATTTAATAAATTAATAAACATGTTTAATGTCCCCAGGGAAATATTGCTAAGTGCTGTTACAACAATACAATTTACAATATTTAATTGGTCATATAACAGAAAAGGGGCAGTGATCAAAAAATGAATAAAATAGATCTAATTGTCATTGACAGTACAGTACAATCATCAAACCGAAGAGGATGAAGTGAGTTGCTGCCAATCACAAAGACAAATGATGCAAATGAACAGGTGGATTGTTCTAAAACATAGTTTAGTTAATTCAATTGTATGTTTACTGGAAATAAAAATGGGTTAAAATACTTACATTCCATTGTCTCACTTTAACACTATTGTTTGTTGTTAAAAATAAATGGGGAAATAATTCCATAGCAGATGCAGACGTAGCCTTGTGTTCCCACCAAATGTCCAAATGTAACAGAATGATTTATTTTATTTAAAAGGGACCAAAGTCACTTCCCTGAATAGTGCGTGTGAGCAGAGCGTGTGTGTCAGGTCAGGGTCCCAATGGTCACTTTGGGTGATGGGCCATGACTGACCTCAGCCCCACACTGGCAGCCAGCACCAGGATGTTTTAGTAATCTCCACCAATCAGCTGCCTGCTAGTCTGTGTAATAAAGAGTGAGTAAAAGCGAACACGGGCCAGACACGGCCACAGACAAAGGGGGATTTGGTCTAGTTGTTTTAAATTACTGCTGCACTGTAGAGGTGAGTAGCCCCTCACCTACTACACACCATTCACCACAGAGCCCCATAAGCAGCTCATATGTGTCCAGCCAAGAGAGGGTCCTGCTGGCTGACCAAGCTTGTTATTAAGTCAGGGTGGCCCAACACGCAGTTTGAGCCTGACATGAATTAAAGTGGAGCCAGAGCGGCCTGTCACAGCAGCCCGTTCCACTCAGGGCCAGAGCACTGCAGCCGTAACCCCCGCGGGCAGGTGAGCAGGCCAACAAAGCACATTTCACTGTTGTAGATGCATGCACATACAGTGTACGGAGCATGCATTACGCCCGGGTCACTAGTCTGCAGTTATAAGGCTGTGGTTGGGATGAAACCGTTTGACTTGGCTCATGTGCGGCAGGGCCACCACTAGGGGCACGCTTTGGCCTTTTGTTTGTACGCACTGTTGACCTTTTTAGATGGGATAAGAGGTAATTGTCGTGGGATAAAGAAAGCACAGTGGACAAAAATGTCTGAAAATGTGATCAAAACCCAGCTCTTTGTGATGTAGAAAGTGAATGAGTGAGGAGATATAACTGATTCCCAATTAAACCATTAAACCATTTTTATGTTTACTTAAAGCTCGGGTATGTTACTTTCAAAGCACAAAAATACAAATATTTACTTTTTGAAATATATTATTTATTTATTAAAAGTAATCTTTATTTATAGAGCACCTTTCACAGACCAGTGTCACAAAGCACTTTATAATTGTGCATTTGTCTCTCACTTCACACAGAGATGGGCTTGAGGTCGCCATACGCAGGCGCAGACATGGGGAGAACATGCAAACTTAACACTCAGAAAGGCCCTGTTCCGACCAGGATTCAATTCCAGTACCTTCTTGCTGAGAAGCGAGAGTGTTATCCACACAACCACCATGCCGCCAAACAAATATTAACCCAATGAGTTAGGTACCCCAGCTTTAATTGCACCTATAATGGTATCCTGTTTTGTTCCACAGAGAGTTTTCAGACTGACATATGCACGGTGCAATGAAGGAGTTCTCATAACAGTAGATTCAGAGTATGAAGTCAATTGTTCAGCAAAAATCGAAATTTTAGGGTAAAGGGAAAAATATGGTGCCCAGACAATTGTGTGGAGAAAGGTCAAGCTTATTTTCAAGTGTGACAGGGAGGAAGTTGTGTATCGTTCCAGCTGGAGGGACAGACAGAGGGCTGGGAAGAGTTTGGTGAAGTGGGTAGACAACCTACAGTACATAAAGTGGTGCTTGAATGTGTATATACCTATTGGCCGTATTTCGGAAATTACAAATTAAAATGTAAAAATATATCTAGCGTGTATTGCCCTTTGAACATGTATGACAGCTTGAAGTCTTTTGTGGTAGTTGTGGATGAGGTACTTAATCTTATCTAATGGTAAAGCTGCCCATTTTTCTTGGCATAAAACCTCTAGTTCTTGTATATTCCTGGGCCGCCTTGCATGAACTGCACATTTGCAATCTCTGCAGATCAGCAAATAGTAAACATGTTTATTTGACCAAAAACGGTTCCCCAAAACCACTAACAATGAGTGAAAGAAAGTGTTGGTGTTATTGTGAATGATCTTTCTGGGTGCGTAAACTTCCAAGCACAAACTTTGATACGGGTTGCGTATCAGTGGGCCCCTGGATACAAAGAATAATTCCAGTTTATTTTCCCTGTAGGTCTTCAACAACATTCTCAATGACAATGACAATATTCTCCAGGCCCCTCACCTGGTCCCTACCCCCTCCCCTCCTCCCTAAGCAGGTGTGAGTTGGTGCATCCAGGCCTCTCCTCGGGGTCAGGCTAATGCAGTTGGGCCCCACTTCACCTCTGCTTACGGAGGGGCTACAGGGTCAATATGCTGCTTTACCAACAGGAAAGTGATTCTCCGCAGCTGTCAACATCCATCAGGCTCAATCACAGGCGCGCTAACACACACAGGGTCAGCCGCTCATGAGGCCGTAAACAACAGAAAATGGTATGTGGCCGAAAAAGTGTCAGTGCAATTGGATTGTGCAAGCGGCTTTTTTAGAGCTCCGTTATTTTCTCTGTCCATGTTGATACATCTGCTATCTTCTCCACTCGCCGGGAGGTTTTTACTCCATCTAAAGGCTATCGTACCGGCTGATGCTTATGGCCTGCTATTTTTCCCATTTTACTCACCAGTTAGGTGTCAGACAAGCACATTTTTACTGTTATGTGAAGAAAGATTGTGGAAGCTCGGGATTTGTGCATTTGGAAACAGTTTTCTCAAGTAAATGTTTTGATAATTTGCAATCTTTGTGTCATCCATTAAACGTCATGGCAGCCCTTACTCTCAGTCTTTTGGTATGCCTGAGATGTGTTGAGTTTTGGGATCTGCCCTAGACGTGAGAATTTTAGAAGCTAAGCTAAGTTTGTGGACTTTTGTGTAAAATAAAACCATGAAACCCAGGTGTTGGAGCCGTTTGCAGGGTAATCATTTTGCACTGATGTTGCAAGTGTGGAAGTACGGTGTATACTTTTTTAACCAGAGTTTACAGTAATTAATGGAGTTCTAGAGATTTGCGTATTGTAGCTAAGAGTAACGTCAATAAACCCTGCGGGACAGTTTTCTGAACTCTTTAAAGTGAATATACGAGACACTACACAGAGGGTAAGGTGATACATGAATGTTATGGTTGTATGTTATACACTTGTACACTGACCACATTACAATTTGGTCAGTTTCTGCAAGCCACAGACCATAATTTGGACCATGACAAACCTATCTCAGGACCAAATCAAGTGAGGAATCAAGCTGGATTAAAAAAACATGAGAAATGCATCAATAGAGCCACTGCTGGTTCTAGGGTTGGGAACCTAAGGATACCCCACGATACGATAACGC